ATCACTTGAAAAAACACGGGGGTGCTTAACTTTTTTCCAGGTGTATATAAAAGACTCCAAAAGATTGAAACTAAATGGATAAGCAATCAGACAAATGGTTTTAGTGCACCATTTCAATTTCTACTAGGTAAAGTCAATGTTTGCATGAGTGCCTTTGTGGACTGCAAATGATGCAAGTGCATGCTACAACATCATGAATGCCAAAAACTATATGCCACTAGATACGAAGGTATATTTGATAGTACATGTATATTTCTGCTTGTAAAGTACTTTCAAAGTACTATGAAAACTATTTTTCAGCTACTTTTGTACAGTAATAGATATCTTTCAAAGATATATTACAGTGGGATTAATAAATCATTTGAGCACTGCTGATTTATGTGGTGTCAGTTTAAATTAGTGACAGGAAACATGAAAACAAACAACAACAACAAAAACCTCAAGTTCTTACATTCCTTTCAAAATTTGCAAGTATATCCAACTTTTAACTGGAATCTTCAAAATTAAATAAGATAACATACATAAGTGATTCATACTTCTACAAATATAATGTCCATGTCAACATCTATTTAGAATGAAAACCAAAGAATAAATCTTTGTGCTCTAACCTGTGTGCCTTAATACCTGTTCAAGAGTAGAACCAAATATTGATTCTTATTCTCAGAACTATGATGTCAATTCTGTTAGAAAATGAGACAATCTAAAATGATTCTTACTTCTACAATATTGATGTCAGCAGAAACAAGTATGTTAACTTCATAAGTATTTGTTTCAGCATATGTAAAACAATTGTGTTTGTAAGCCTGAGGTAACTTGAAATTATGGCTGCTCTTTGTTATGTAAGTTTAATAACACTTTCCTACCAATGATATAATTTTTCAATACTGCATCTTGTATATCATACATGCAAAATTTGGAGTTGTACTAAAGTTTCATCTAGTAAATCAAAATGGAAAGGGAGTATACATTATATGTAACTTAATAGCCACATTATTTAAATAAGACAGAAATACCATTTTTTTTAAACAATACAAACTTACTTCCATGTTACAACAACATTCAATTTCAGTGAACCGCTAGGGTTAAGATTAACAGTCATAAGTTGAGGGTGAGCACTGAAGAGTTCTTTTGTGTCACAATATTTCTGACCAAGGACTATATTCTTCCCTAGGCTTTTCACTTCAACAGCCTGCATAAAACAACAAAATATAGTTAATGTTCTTTTTATACTCATAAAATCATAGAAAGCTCACATCATGAGTACAAAGTGTAGGTCATGTGTTATTGTTTAAGGGCTGGTTTCAAACATGCAATTATAGAACAATCCCAAATCCTTAAATACATTTCATTCAGTCACTTTGAATCCAGAAAAATATCAGTTTACTTCTTTTCCTTCTGATTCTGAGCTTCTTCTATAATGTTTAGTTTACTTTTAGTGTTAATTATATAATTAAATTTTCATTGTCAAAATTATTAGTTAGGGTTATTTTACACACTAAAGAGCTACAAAACATATAATGAAACATCTGTTAAATCATCATGAACCATGATAGTGGTTCATAATAGGGATTACATAGGAATTTCACAAAAATTGTAATAGAACATATAGGGAAAAACCATCTTAAAAAGCAGACTTGTTCTTGAAACAACACTCAAGACTTTCTATCTCAATGGCTAAGGCTGCTAAAATATTGATAATAATAAAAAAGTTGATTTTCCAATTGTTAGACCAAATTCAAAATTCACCCATTTGTTCTTCATATTATAATTATTATTCTTGTTTCACAAGCCTACAGAATAAACAGATATGATTATTTTATTCAAACCGGGGCAAACCTACTAAAAACACTCCTGCACAGGTCATAGGACTATCTTTATGTTGATTCTTGAAAGAGAAGGAGAAATTTTATCAGTTTTTTCATTTCTATTGGTTAAGATTCTCTTTGAAGCCATTCAAGCACTGAAGCCTACAGCCAAAACAGCTAGGTATACTGCACCTATTCACAGCTACTAAACAAACTCTTGGAAATATTGTAGAGCTATTTTCAAGTTGATTCTTGAAAGATGAGATATCCACACTCTAACATTTTCTATATTCTTCTTCGTTACCAACATAAGCTCTTCAAAGCCATTCAAGCATCACAGAAATGTAGAAACCATTTAAGCACCATTATACTTGTCAGCAATGCTTCATTTTATTAGAGTAAATAATGTGTAAATAACAGTGTCTCCAGCCTTATTATTATTGATTATAGTTTTACAAGACACTACAGAAAAAATGGCTGTGAATATTTAACTAAAACCTGGATAACAGTAATGTATGCAGTATTAAATATGTCATTTTAAAATTAATTCAAGTGGCTTCATTTTTTTGCCATGAAGACTTTCTTTAAAGTCTTTCACTTTCTGCCATTAAAAAAATCTAGTGTTATACTATTGCCCATTAATTACAAAATAATTTATGTAACTTATAGCACATATACTAGATTTATATACTTATATACTAGATTTCTCTATTTTGTGAGTGGTGATTTATTCTACTGATTTTTGTATTTCGCTGAAACTGAGTGGATATTTTAGTATTATTTTATTATTATCATTCAGATTTTTGTTTCACAAGTCTACAGCAAAATTTGCTTGGTATTTTGCATCAAAACCTAGACAGATATACTATAAGAAACACTGCATATGTCCATGACCTATTTAAAAGGTTGATTATTTTTCACTGAAAGTTGATTTACATGACTAAATAAATAATATACGAGATGTTGGTACGAGTAGCGTCCTTTATTCTTGATGTCAGTTAAACGCATGTTTACATGAAACCTTAGGCACAAAACCACCTGGCTCAGTAAATAAGGGTTGGGTAGAAAAAAACCAATGCAGCAGTAAACTGTTGAAAAACATGTAACATTCAACTAAATGCATATACACATATTTAGCTGAAATATATACTCCATAAATAGACATAAAACTTAAGAAACAAGATAATTCTTTGCATTTTGATTCAACTTGTTTCTGTACATTTTTGATTATCCCTATTCGGCTTTTTAAATTAAAAATTTGTTAATTATCTTATTTTATGTAAAAACCTTATACTTATAGAAAATAAAATTATATATTTAAGAAAATTATGTATGAATTCTATCATACAAAACTTGAATAAATGTAACCTAAACTGTTTCTTAAAAAAGCACTCTTACTAAAAAATACAAAAAAGGATGGAGGGAAACAATTTAGAAATATCCAAAGGTGCTGCTTTGTACAAGTAAAAACAAATAAAGGAAGATTACAGAGTACAGCTCTAAAAACATTCTCTGAAATCTTAGTTCATTCTATTTTTTCCTACTTTTTTCTTTCAGTGACAGATTTCTCTCCTTTTTCTTAATTGGAACATCATAACACTTTCTTTTAATTAGCTTATTAGTAATGATGCTTCCTACCATAAAAAAAATCTTACAGACTTTGAGATAAAACTAATTACTTTTTGTTGGCAATTTCTTTATCAAAATAAATCTTCCAAGTAAAAAAATATTTACCTTAATATACAATACTTCTCCTATTTGTGCTTTAAATATAACTTTTTTGTTGTCCCATGCTTGGTTTTCACCCTTCAAAATCTTGCCTCTTGTTTTCCACTTTTGATGACCATTTTTCATGGTTACCTCAAACACATCTCCAGCACATAATCTTGCAAATCCTTGTATACCTTGATGGGAAAAAAAAACAACAGTAAATTTATTACTTTTTGTGATCATTATAACACAACACTCTTGAATATAAACTTGAAAACTTTTATACATATCTTATAGAAAATAGTTTTCTTGGGATACAAAAGCACCAGAGAACTGCATGGCAAAATGAATATTTTATATTCATTATATTTTCACCAAGTATTTTCATTAAGTATTAAGTTAGCTAGATTGTGGCTATCTTGTTTTAAATTAATCACTCACTTCTTGCTTAGATATGTAAACTAAAATGTGGTCAAAGTTTCTTGATTTAAAAATGGTTAGAAGCCACAAGTGGCAAGATACTTAAAAGCATTATTTAAATCCTACAAGAAAAACTATTATAAAGTATATATACAGAAGATACATATTAAAAAACACCACCTGAGAATAAGACTCTTACCAAAGGTAGTCTTAGAACCTTTTTATTTGTTTTGTTACAAAATAGTTATTATACTAACAACTGTGATATTTTTACAACTTTTCATTTATTTAATATTAACACTGAATTTATAAAGAAACAAAAACAAAGTTTTTATGTTATGATTTGCTATGGGAGAGTAAAGACAGTTGAAAGTTAAGTTCTTGAAGTTTTTGGTATATCTGTTTAAAGATTTGATTAAAATTCTTATTTGTAAAAATATTGTGTTAATGATAACAAGATAAGTCGATTTAATAAGATTGGTAAATACTATTAGTAGGATTAAATTTTTAGATTAAGGCTTGATGGTGTAAGTATTAGTAATATTAGATTAAGTTTAGAGAATGTATCTTCACTTTTCTTCCAACTTAGCTTATTGGTAAGTTATAAAACAAGGAAAATAAATTGTATTATTACATAAGTATCATCTGAAGACTAGCTATATATACCACTTCTATATTTTAAAGATAAACTTAATAGTTTTAGTGTGAAGATGAAGTAGTATTAAAATAGTGTAATATATTTAACTCTCAAACGTTAAGCATAACAGTGTTATCAGTATACTATTTATTCCCAGATTACAACAGTTAAGAGTAGTGTAGGTGTTAGGCATTCACAGTTCGTAGGGTGCAATGGTTGCAAAGAGTAGGTTTTATTTATAGACACAGGACTGGTATGCACTCTTAAGGAAGCTAGTAGTGAAGATATGAAATTTGATTGTAGAGTTTACAGGTTGGAGGAAAAATTGGAGGCTATCCTAAATAGAATAAAGGCAATAGAAAAAGTGAAGTGTAAACAGGGGGAAATGGCAGTATGATTTCAGGTGGACCTCAAGCATTTATATAAAAAGATACATGAGCTAATGATGATTTTCAGGCAGTTAAAAACAGTATTATTACAGCTACAAGTAGTGGATTTAATTGTAATGAGCAAATTCTAGTAAGACATCAAAAAGTTAATGAAGTTAAAGTTATGGGTGATTCTTTGGTATAGCACAAGGACAGGATAGTCTGTGGGGTAAATAAGGAGAAAAGAGTTGGATATTGTTATCTAGGGGCAGAGGTGGAGGATATAACTGACAGACTAAGTAAAGGGTGCTAGTTTTGGAATATCTCATTTAATGTGCACATAAGGGCTAATAATATAGAAAAGGGTAGGTCAGGGGAGTTAACTGATGTGTACATAGGGACAATAAAGTCATTTAAAAAATGGGCCACACCTTAATTGTGTCAGAGATACTGCCAAGATGAAATTATAAGTAGATCACTAAGGTTCAATGCTAGGCTTAGATTAAGATGTAAGGATGAACAGTTTGGATTTGTGGGATCGGTTCGATTGGAAAAGGAAATTTTGGGGATGGACAGTTTACATTGAAATAGGGTAGGGCTATTATCTCAGCTGTAATGGCAGCTTTAAACTAGACAGTGATAAGAGCCAAGAAAAACTGAATGCAGAAAAAATAAGATGTAAAGAAAAATGTAGTGTAGTAAAAAAGTATAGAAGTATCTTTAAGGGTAAGATAAAATTGTTACTATTGTAATGCTAAAAATAATAGAAACAAAACAGGTGACTTTATAACACCATTTGGTATGAAGGATTTGATATAATGGGAATAGCTGAAACTTGGTTAAACGTAGATAATTTTGATTAACAGTTATAAGTTACTTAATATGGGTACTGTAGAGAGGTGGAGAAGTAGCCTTATATGTAAAATGTAAGCTACATTCTGTTGAGGTTGTAAAAGATAATAGGAAGGAGAATGATCCTATTTGGGTTTTTGTTCACAGATATAGATGGAGAAGGCTTTTAGTTCAAATTTGTTACATACCACCAGATGAAACTGATGAATTGAATTATTTCAGCTGTTAATGAGGTCATGAACATAAGGGATGTTAATTTCAGGCATATAGAGTGTGAAATCTTAGCGTTAAACCATGATGAAGTCAGGTTTTAAAAACTGTTCAGGATGGTTTTCTTCACCAATTGGTCAGAGAATCCTGCTAGGAATAATGCTACTTTTGATATATTGTTAACTTCTAATATTGTTCAGTACAAAGTAACTGCAGGTTTGGACACTTGGTACATGTGTTTGAATGAGCGACCAGTGGTGCAAAGCTACTATCCATGGGATTATGACTGAATGCTTCTGAGTCAGAATTCTGTCTAGCCACTGCAATGATATTATTCGTGTCCCCTACGTTTAAGGGTGACCCTAGATGGAGGGCGAGTTCTCCTCATGGAGAATCGACGACGTTGAAGAAGCCCTTTGAAAGAGAGCATCTGACAGGTATGAAGGCAGATGGTACCTGTTGCTTTTTGATACCAAACCACAAGGTGAAATGTGGGGGCACCAAATTGTCAAGATTAGCTAGAATCCCACATTGAGAAGGAGGAGGGATTGGTGCAAGGGAATAACAGAAGCACTCCTGAAAGTGTCCAAAGAATACCCCTGACCAGATATTGAACAAATGTGGAAAACTTTTATTTTAGAAAAAGAGTGATTGCAAGTAAAAAACATTGATTTACAAAAGGTATAATGGATAAAATTAAAGAAAAATATTATAAATTTTAGAAGTTTAAATTGACTGCTCTGATGATTATAGAAGACAGAAAGTTGTTAAAACAGAAAATCAAGAAATTGAAAAAAGTAAATGAAAAAGAGGTTGACTGAGAATGTAAAAATTAACAGTAAATGATTCTTTATTTACAGTAAGAGTAAGCAAACTGTCAGAAGAGAGTATGACCTTTGAAGGATAATAAAGGAAGGCTTACATTTGATGATTATAAGATGGTTTAGTTATTAAGTTCTACTTTTTCATTAATTCTTACTAAAGAATATTTATGCAATATTCTTCCATCCAAAAAGTTGCTAGATGGAAACAAGACTGAATAAAATGATTACACTACTTATGAATTTGTCAAGAAAAATTTGGAAGTGATAAGTCTTCTGAGCCAGATAATATTTCCACAAGAAGATAATTAAGAATTGTATACATGAACTACTTGCTACTATTTTCTGTAAATCTTTGAACAGTGAGTTTGCAGGTGACAGAGGATTGGAAATTGGTGATAAAAACTATAAGCATATTTGTCTTAAATCATTGGTGGAAAAAAGTTTTGAAAGCCTGATAAAAGATTCTTTGAAAAGTCATTTAACTCAGTGTCATAATTTTCCTATTCTAAAAATGTATTTCAGATAGATACTTATCTCCCCTCACAAGATTAGTTATTCTCGTTCAGTGCTGCCTTTTATATGCAAATATTTTCTTTACACATGCCACAAGCCTTGCACTTCCCCCTTGTTGGAATTAGTCCATTCCAACGTGTCTCTCATGCAAATCATTATGCTTCATCTATTAACGAACAGTAGCATAGTATGCTAACGTAATGCATGTGACTCCCTCTACTGCACCCTCAGTGGGCACCAGAGAAGTGGGGAGGAAGGGTGGGAAGTGTGAGAGGAGATAAGTACCTATCAGAAATACATTTTCATTATAGGAATTTTATAACTTCTGATACAGTACTTACTTCCAATCACAAGATTAGTTAGAATCCCACACTGAGAAGGAGGAGGGACTGGTGTGAGGGAATAACAGAAGCACCCCTGAAAGCGTCTGAAAGATACCCCTGACCAGGAAAGAAAGAGATCTGGAGATCAGAAGAGAGGAATTGCAACACTTCTGAGCCCTTGTGTATAATTCCTAAAACACATGGACAGAAATCATGAGGTGTAAAGTGGCTAGGGTGTGTCAACTACATCCAAAACCTCCTCTATGGAGTACTGACATCAACACGAGGGTAAGATGAGGTTCATACCATCTTCACCTCCAACCCAAGAATTGGGGATTAAGATCTGCTCTAATTCCTGGGTACTACACAAGGATCAACATCCTACAGCCATCCGGCATCGAGAGGATGGATTCAACTTGTGCGAGGACTTATGTTGATTGGTTCACTCGAATCCAACACCTCAATACTGAGAACCGACATCCACGTGAAGGTAGGATGAGGGCTGCCAATCAAAATGGGTTAACTACACGTGCGACGGATCAACTCCAAGTGGTATGGAATATGTAACAGGAGGCCACATCAGCCATTAAGTTGCCAGTTCAACTCAACTGTATGTGTAAATGAATAGTAGGAAGCCACGTCAACCAGTTCAGTGATGGATCAACTCCACTGTAATGTTAATATTGTAAGGAGGCCACATCAGCTTGTAAAGTGATGAATCGACTCCAGCAGTTGTGGATATTGTTGAATATGTAAATAGTATAACGAGGCCATGTCATCCAGGAAGGTGATGGATCAACTCCTGTGGAGGCCACGTCACATCTACATCAGCAGAACACCATCACTCTACTCTGGATTGAATGGTTATAGTCAACTTGTAAATGGAACCCAATCATGAGGGTGCCTCCATGATCAACCACCCCAGCAGTTTGGAACTGAAAAGTGGCAAGGATTCCCATACTCCACTCGAAGAAGAGGGATGAGGATGCATTGTAGAGGCCGGAGGTAAGTCATCACTGGAAACAGTGCAATGGGTGACCTTTATAC